ATAAATGACCAATTTCTAGTGATGTTATCAGAAGTGTCATAAAAATTTTTCCCATCTCTTCTATACAAGGTGGGCAAAAGTAGGTTTGCAGTTGTTGATATGGAAATAATAAATAAATAAATAGCAATACAAGACTAAACTCTTGTTCTGAAAATTCACAACTTGTAAACCTACTGTTGCCCCGCCTTGTACTTACTGAGAAAAAGGACAAGGACAGAATAACTCCAAGACCTCCCAATCTCTGCTGCTAGAACACTATCAGGTCATTCAGAGAAAGGTAAGTATTTCTATCTGATTTTAGAATTGTTTTTCTTACTAGGATTTTTTCTTTCCCTTCCTTTCTTCCTTCTTTCTCTCCTTGTCTCCCTCCCTCCTTTCTTCTCTGTTTCTCTTTCCTCCTATACTTATTCAGTGAATGAAATCCTCTTGATTGTGTATTACTTGGGTGCAGGAATCAGAGAAAAATGTGAATACATATGGTGCAAACGGGAAAGAGAAGTGACATTTTTAAAAATTTACAAAGAATGTCTACAATATTTAAACATATGCATTATGTTGGTACTTTAGTCCTTTCACTTAAATCCTGTTAGAATGCAGCTATTTTAATGAGTGCTTTCATGAGTGAGACATGCTTTCCTGGGAGCGGCTGTGACAGAGGAGTGGGGAGAGGAGAGACAGCGTCAGGGTACACTGAGGGATGGGCAGTGTCGAGGAAGAAGTGTGCAGGGAGAAAAGGGAAGTGAGAAGGGATCAATGACAATTTTTTTCTCATTTCTGTAGTCTCTTCAGATTCCATTCTGCCCCATAGCATATCCTACCAGTGGTTCTCAACCTTCTGGCCCTTTAAATACAGTTCCTCATGTTGTGACCCAACCATAAAATGATTTTCGTTGCTACTTCATAACTGTAATGTTGCTACTGTTATGAATCGTAATGTAAATATCTGATATGCAGGATGGTCTTAGGCGACCCCTGTGAAAAGGTTGTTCCACCGCCAAAGGGGTCGCGACCCAGAGGTTGAGAACCGGTGTCTAGACTTTTAGTGTATTTATCGTTATCCATCACAAAACCACCTATTTTCATTGAACATCATCTATCGTTTGGCATTCTGTTCAGCACTTGGCATACTACAATGTTATATCAAACTCTGCTATTGTCTCCTTTACAGTTGAACAAAAGAAGGCTGAGAGAGGGAGTAAGGTGCGAAGAATGATTAAAACCAGGTCCACCTGTATCTCACCTCCTCCCTTTCTGATGATCATGCTTCTCTAAGACCAGGTTGTACAGCAGTCAGGAGCAGGAGGCAGGGGGGAGGGGGAGTTGTCCAGCAGCTCCCAGGGGTGGGCAAACTTTTTGACTCGAGGACCACAATGGGTTCTTAAACTGGACCGGGAGGGCCGGAACAAAAGCATGGATGGAGTGTTTGTGTGAACTAATATAAATTCAAAGTAAACATCATTACATAAAAGGGTATGGTCTTTTTTTTCAGTAGTTTTATTCATTTCAAACGGGCCAGATCCGGCCCGCAGGCTGTAGTTTGCCCACAGCTGTAACACTACTAGAACAAATGGTGTGCCTTCCCAATCACAGAGCGTGAGGAAGTACAATCCTGCCATGAGCCAAGAAAAAGGAGAAATGGAAGCCCTGGTGAGCATCACTAGCACACGCCCCAGAGTCTCAACAGTAAACAGAATGAAAGGGAAGAAATTAACTACAGAAGTTCTGAGTTTAAAAAGGGCAGGGTAATTTCCAGCTCAGCTTTTGACTCCAACCCTTTTCCATGTGTTGGTTTACTTGGCAAGGTGGAAGATTACTAGCCCTGGGGCCACTTTAAACATGGGCAGGACCAGGTATAATGTTAGCAAAGCTGACAAAGCAGGTTGGTCACTCAAGTAACCCAGTTGAGATTTATGGTAAGAGCAGTGTACGGTTCAGGTTCAAAGTTGCTACAGACTCCTGCATTAGCCAATGCAAACTTTTTCATTGCTGGCGATAACACAGCACTTTTCTAGAAGAAATGCAAAAGCGTGTTGACATTTTGGACAGAAGAAATGCATCTGGAGAGCTTTTTGGATTGGGTGCCTCTTAGAGATGGAATAAAGCTAGGAATTTACGAAATGAAAATCGATAAGCTGTCCTGGTTAATAAAGCAAATTATAATTCAAAATCATTAGACTGCCAAAAGCTTTCACTTTTAGAACTCTATAAAACCAACATTGATTTTGAATTAATAAAGCCAGGGAGTGTGATGCAGTGGACAGGGATTGAGGAAGGCAGCATTCATAACCCATCAGGAAGTTACTTACTATAGGAGTTTTAGTTTATTTCCCAATTTTTAGGCTGTTTCTCAACTGTTATGCAGGCGATATTAATAAGTATATGGGCAAGTACCACCAGGAAATATATCTCTGCCTCCAATATATATTCAGTAATAGTGTTCACTTCTCTTTATCTCTAATACTCCTATTCTAAATCTGGCAAATCTCATCTCTCAGCTACACCAACAGCCTCCTAATGATCTTTCCACTTTTACTCTTGCCGCCACCCCATTCATTACGCACTAGACATAGTATCTCTCTCTTCCCAGGGCCTTTGCGCATGCCATCCTGCTGTTTTTCTGTGTCCTGCATGGACAGCTCTATTTATTTCTTGGGATGTCTTCCTTTGGTTACTTTCTCAAAAATAGTCTTTCTGGATCTTCCTATAGGAAGTAGTTTCCTCGTATTATTTGCTACCTCAACTCGTTTCCTCCATGGTGCCTATCCTAATTTGTAATTTGTTTGTCTATTTACTTCTTTGTTTGTTGTCTATACTAGATATGAGTTTCACGAGGGTGGAAACTGGTTTGGTCTTGTCCAGCCTTGTCTCTACCAAGCACAGTGCCTGGCACATTAAAGGTGCATAAAGACTATTTCTGTGATGAGTGAAGGGGTTGCTGTGAGGAATAAGTGAGGTAATTGGGTGCATCTTTAAGTATCCAGATGGTGTTCAGTAATCCTTGTTATTCTTCCCTGCTCCTTTACCTGTGCTGCCCAATCAATATCCACCTCTTTTAACCCAAACATCCCCAACTGAGGGTCCCCTGGCTTGTCTCCGTGAAACCAAAATGTCGGGAGTTGACTCCAAGTTCGGTGTCTCTCGAAATCGAAGAATGAAGTCGGAGACAAAAACGGTTAGCAGAACCAAAGATTATTGAGAGCATCCGTGCGAATTAAAGTTTATTAGTTCATGGGTAGAGTCCCACATGTCCATTAGCCACGTGGGCACAGGGATGTGCTCCTCTGCCACAGAAACCTCAGGAATCTATTGCTTGCCAGGGAGAAGAGAGAGGGTGAGAGCAAGTGCAAGCCTTTTAATTTAAGGGGGTGGAGACAGCAAGCTAGGTCCTTATTGATTTTTTCAAATATTTTTGCTTTAGCAACATTCTTGGAATTGGTTTATATGCTTACTGCCTTATGATTGTTTATCTGCATGCTGTCTGTCTTAGTA